CGTTGTGTGGCAGGGGCCGGCCTGTCTGGATTCTAGAGCCCCCGAGCGATTCGGCCTCTTCGTCTTCGGTCCCTTCGTCTGTTCTGGGGTCCCACCAGTTCTTGCTGGCAGGCCAGTGGCCTTTCTTGCAGATATCCCAATGCGCCCTTGTTGCTACCTTGTCATGCCATTGTTTGCAGTCAGTCTGTGCGATCTGCCTGACTGCAGCCAGCTGATTTTCAGACATATTCCTCTCCCCGCCCAGGGTCAAAAAAATCAAGATGGTGGCTGCAACTGCATGATCGAAACACTGCCCTGTATAAAAGGGGCAGGGCTTTAGTCACATGGCCGTAGCTGCCATCTTGACTTTTTTGACCCTCCTCCACGGATGCCCCTGCTTTCCCCATTCCTATTCTTTCTCTCTGGGCTAGAAAGAAAGACTGTGTGTGTGCCTGTACATAAACGTTTGCGTATGTGTTGAGGACATATCCTGCCAATGATTGCGGTAGGAGAAAAAGTTTACCAGAAAGGCTCCGAATCTTGGATCAAGCCAGTGCAGAATGTTCACCTGGGCATCGGTTAAGGATCATTAATTAATTCCCCTGGACTATCAAAGGTGTTAAACAGAGCCAACCTGGTCAGGGAATTGCTGGGAATTTCCCCACTGTAGGAAACGAGAACTGGGTGAACCGTCCCTCCCCCCAGTTAACGCGTCAAGTTGGCTTGCGCCAAGGCTCACCCTGGTTTGCCATCGCCAGGTGCATCTGCAGGGGTTGGCGCAGGATCCTCCCCTATCTGCAGATGCCAGGGATGGAACCTCGATCCAGGGGTTCAGGCGGGATGCTCTGCCCGCGAGTGGGAGCCTCACCTTAATTTGCTTGTTCAGCATCTTCAGCTGCCTCTCGAGTTCCAACTTCTGATCTTCCAGTTTGAGCAGGTTATCTGGGAAGAAAAGGCATTTTGAGGTCAGGGTTGCCAAAGGGTACAGCGGTCTGGCCTGAAAAGCCCACCTCCCCACCACAACGAAGCGGGCAAGGGGGCATAATTTATCTAAGTCCATCTCCACTTCCTGAGGCAAGGGTTGGCGACATGGTGCCCACGGGACGTGGGCGTCTATCATTCCCCAAGTTAAATTCTAATCAGTTTCTTTTTTAAATTAAAAGCTAAAAAGTGTTAAAATCTCACAAAATCACCACCTCTCCTGAGGTTTGGGTGATCTTGCAGAAGAACGCTGAAATCCAAATGCCCCCCGCCTGCTGTCAGAATACAGAACACCAACGTGAGGTTCTCACATTTGTGCCTAAGATTTTGAAAGATGTTGCTCTTGCATGATTGGGGGCAAGGTTTTTTTTCCCCAGAGGATGGGGGCAGGAAGCACCCGGACCACAATTTGGAAAAGGTTATTTCAATGTAGCAAGGGACCAAAAGGAGTGAAAAACAACGTGTCTCGGACAGGACAAACGATTCATCCTCTCACGCAGCATTAACTGGCAGTGTCTATCGGTCGTTCCTCAACAACCCGTCCGTGCAGCGTTACAGGCACAGAGACTTCAGCGGTGGGTTGAAAATTAAAAGAAAGAGAGGAATGGGGAATTTCCTGGTGGGAAGAACTGTTATGTGGTGGAAATCCCCCTTGTTCTCACTGGCTCTGTGGCCACCTCTCGGGCACGGTTTTGTGTATGTCTTGACAGTGCTGGTGGTTGGAGTAGATGACCTCTAATGTCCCTTCCCGGTGATGCATTTGCATGGGTGAACAACCTGTCTGCTGACCCCCGCCTGCCAGGAGACCGTGGAGGTCCTGTCTTGGTGTCTGGAGGCTGGGGAGGGTTGGATGGGGAACAACAGGCTTCAGCTGTACCCTAACAAGACCAAGGGGTTTGGGGTTTTAGGACCCCCTGCTTCTGCATCTCTAGTTCTGGATGGGGCTGCACTGCCCCAGACAAAACTTGTGTGCAATCTGGGGGTCCTCCTGCTCCTGCTTGAAGAGCGGGGGTAGCTGTGGCCGGGGGGGGGGCTTTGTACAGCTTCATGTTGCCCACCAACTGCCTATCACCTGTGGGGCTAGGTGACCTCTAATGCCCCTTCCAGCAGATCCATTTGCATGGGGGAGCAACCTGTCCGGTGACCCCCTTTGGCCAGGAGGCTACAATTCAGGAAGTACATCGTAAGGGATAGAATTTTTCTAAAATAAATTAAAACCACAATGCCCATTGTCTTGAGATTCCAAACCGCGCTCACACCAAGCAACACATTTTGCAGTGCCCAGTGGCCTTCACGGACTGCGTGCTCTCCCCGATGGGGTAGACTTTAAGAGCCGATCCCTTGGGCGGGGGAGGATGGGAGATGCAGTCCAATGTTTCCGGAATCTGTGGGGGGAGTGTCAAAAAAGTCATGCCCATCCCTTTTTACATGGCCAGGTGACGCACCTGGAGTAGCTCTCCTTACATCCCAGTTATGCCTGTTAAGAGGGTAACCTTAAACTACCTTCGCTCACAGCTTTCTGGAGCAGGAGGTAACATTAGACACAACTGGGGGTCAAAAGGAAAATCATCACTCGTCATCATCATCACCATCAAAGATAGGGGGGCTGCTGTTTCATTGACCCATTCGTTTTTAAAACTGCAGCTGTTTTAAGTCAGTGTTGTCCAAACTTGGGCACTTTAAGATGAGTGGACTTCAACTCCCAGAATTCCCCAGCCAGCCATGGGAATTCTGGGAG